AGAAAAATCAATCAATAGAAACGCAATGAAATAGAGGGTAGAATTAGTAGGAAAGGACATTAAGACAGTTATCAACATAATATTCATATGTTTAAGAAGATAGAGAATGGCGTGAGCGTGTTCCAATATCCTAATAAGTGAATTATATCAGAGATTTAATGTGGAAATAATACCAAATTTCTTACAGAAAATTGAAGGGGGCAGAACCCTTTCCACCTTATTCTACAAGGAATCCATGAAACTAGCATTATACTGGTACTCAAAACACAGAAGCAACATTACAAGGAAACAAAGCTAAGGGCCAACATCATTTAAAAATTCTTAAAGTTTTAGAAAATCAAATCCAGCAATATAGAAAAAGGATAAGACATCATGATTAAGTGGGGTTTATCACAAGAATGCAAGATTTGTTTATGATCCCAAACTCAATCAATGTAATCTACCATATTAAGAGACTGAAAAAGAGATATTAGATTATCACAAGAGATGCAGCGAAAACATTTGTCAAAAATCCAGTGTTGATTCCTGATTAACTCTCATCAAATTAGGAATAAAAGAGAAAGTTCTCAATTTGACAAAGGCCATTTATGCAAAACTTACAGTTAACATCATATGTAATTATAAAACATTGAATGTTCTCCCCCTAGGATCGGCAACAAGAAGAGAACGTCTACTCTCATTACTTCCATTAGCCTTGTACTGGGGACTCTAGTCTATAGCCCACAAAGACAAGAAGAAATAAAACCACACAGGTTGGAAAAAAAGAACTAATTGTCTTTATTTGCAGATGATATGATAATCTACTAGAAAATTTATAAGATCTACCAAAAACTACTAGAACTTTAAATAAGTTTATCAAGATTTCTCAATACAGAGCCAAATGCAAAATCAATTGTATTTCTATAAACTATCAATGACCAATTTTAGAAAACAATATCATTTAAGATAGCATAAAAAATGAAATACTTAGGGATAAATTTGACAAAATATTTGCAATATCTGTATACTGAAAACTACAAAACATTGCTGAGAGGAATTAAATAAGACCTAAATAAATGGAGAGGTATTCCATGTTTTTGAATTAGAAGACTCAATATTATCAAATGTTAATTTTTCCAGAATTGTTCTATAGATTCAGTGCGATTGCAATTAAGATCAATTCTGGCAGGACTTTTTAAAGATACTGACAAGCTGATTCTAAATTTATTTGGTAATGCAGAACCTAGAATAGTCAAAATGACTTTGGCTTTTCCAACTTTGAAAAAAAATTGAAGTACTTACTTTACCTAATAAAAACACTTAACGTAAAGCTCCAGCAATTAGGACAGTGTTGTAATGGCAAAAGTATTAACGGAACACAAAGAGAATCCAGAAATAAACCCACAAATATGTAGTCAATTGATATTTTATAAAAATGCCATGGCAATTAAATGAGGAAATGGTTATTTTTTCCACAAATGGTATTGGAAGAATTGAACAGCCATAATCAAAACAAGAAGAAAGAACTTTGACCTTTTCTTCATATCACATACAGAAATTTAATAGAACTTGATCATAGACCTAAACAAAAAAGCTAAAACTATAAAAGTGCTGGAAGAAAACACGAGAAAAACTTTGTAACTTGAGTTAAGCAAATACTTCTAACATATGATGACAAAAGCACAGTCTATAAAACAAAAAATTTGTAAATTAGACTTCATCAAAATTACAGTCTTCAGCTTTTCAAAAGACACTCTTAAGAAAATGAAAAGATAAGCCATAGACAATAAAAATATCTGCAAAACTCATATTTGATAAATGACATGTGTTCAGAATACATAATGAACCCATAAAACTCAATAATATGTAAACAGACAACTTAATTAAAAAACGGGCAAAGGATTTGAACAGACAATTCACCAAAGATACTCAGCATCATCAGACATTAGGAAATGCAAATTAAACTGCAATTAGATATACCAACACACCATACTCACTACGATGGTTGAAATAAAAAAGACCATTTTGGAACCTAAAAAGTTAAATGTATTCCTACCATATGATATAGCCATTCCATTTCTAGATATTTACATGAAAGAAATGATAGCATATGTCCACATTATTACTTGCACGGATACGTTCATAGCAGATTTATTTGTAATAGGCAAAGACAGATATAATCCAAATGACCATCAACAGGTAAATATATAAACAAATTGTGGTATATTCATAAATAGAATACTACTCAGTAATAAAAAGGAGCATGACAAAATAGATAAATCTCAAAATAGTTATGCTGAGTGAAAGAAGCCAGACAAAAGAGAGTACGTACTTTCTCTATAATTCCGTTCATATAACATTCTAGAAAATGCAAACAAATCTATAGCGACAGAAAATGGGTCAGTGGTTTGCTGGAGATGACAGGTGGGGAAAAGGGAATGGAGGGCTGGATTACATTGGGGCACCAAAAAATTGGGGGCGGGGTGTAATGTATATGTTCTTTACCCCTATTGTGATGATGGTTTCATGGGTGTATATATGTCAAAACTCGTAAAATTCTACGTCAATATGTGCAGTTTCCTGTACATTCATTATACGTCAATAACGCTCTGGATTCAAGAGTAATATATTTGTACTAAAGCAACAAAGACTACAGATGACTTCATTTGCATATAATCAGTAATAGCAGCTTTTACATAGATCAAAAGTAACCATCTACAAGTATTTTTTTAATGAAATGTACATGGGCTTTGACCATCAGACCCTTTAACACATCTCCTACTGAGACATACAACTAAGGCTATCCCTTAGAAATATATGGATTTGAAATGGTGCCTAAATGCCTTACTGACTTTTCATGTGAAGGAAATAATCAATTTGGCTTTGATAATAAACGCTTAGATTAAAGATGGCTGAAATGCACAAATCAATGACGTGCATGGATTAGCCCTCCATGACCTATTGTGGTCTTAATAACATTATTAGAAGAAAAATGTCATTATCCAACGTGATCTCATAAGCTGCCACAATTTATAGCCATCCTTGCTTATTTTCTATTCTAAAGAAAAACTTTGTGGCTTCACTTAAAGAAAGTGAAGTCTTTTGTTTCTCCCTGAGGTTGTCATACCAACAACAATTATTTAGCTCTAATTGGTCTGTAGGAGGTCGGGATCAGCAGCCTAAAAACACACTTGAAGGATTTCAGATTTCAGCTCAGTGGTTAAATTATAGCAATCTCTCTCTTTATAGTAATATTCTAAAAATTCCTATTTTAGACCTCTCGTTTGCCCTGCCGTTTTTTTTCCTAGAGGAAGTTTCAGTCCATTAATAAGGTATAAACTCAGGGTAATTATGGCTTTAAAATGTGATTGTTTTGCCTCTTCTTAAATTTATCCTGCTCTACTTTGGAACTGGATATGAAACAAAGCTTCTATATTTTCAAAAGTATGCCTTCCAGTTTGCAGTATATTTTATTGTTTCTGAAAAATGCAAACAGTAAAAAAGTTGAAGGCAACCTAAATCTGATTATTTTATAGCCACCCAAACTTCCATCTTCCTCCCTTTTTTTATACAAATGTTTTCTTTTATCTACACTATCTCTGCCTCATTATGCTCATGTGTAATATATCTGTCACAGCTAAGGGCCATGGCCTTGTGTTTAGCAAAGATAATAAATTAGAAATGCAACAAAATATGATTTGATAATATTCAGGTTATCAATACTAGTCATTTGTTGGTTTGAACTTAAGATTTCCTTGTAGTCATTAATGCTGGTTTGATTTTCACAGTTATAATACAATTTACCAAATCTAGCATGTTATAGAAAAGACTGAGTCAACATATTCACATGTTGATGCTTGTAACAATGACATAGTCTTCCAAAAGCTATCCAATATTTTCCCTTACAAAAGAAATATAAACAGGTCATTAATTCATGAATATGCACACGGTTCTTCACTCCAGAGGACTAGAGTATCTGTCCATTTTTAATTATATATAATTATATGTATGTAGGTCCATATCCTCAAGCTTTGGCGTGACCTGCTTTAATTTCACTCTGTCCCTCGCCCATGACAATGTACTATTTGGGTAACATTTTGTCCCTGGTTATAATTTAATGGCATCGTCTATTTCTTCTAGAGTATTTAACTCCTATAGCTAGCAGTCTAGATATCCTTATTCCCTTAAATATAGATCCTAATTGTCCCAAAATCTTGGCAGAAAATATTGAAAGATAACAAATCAAATAAAAATGAGAAACTTTTACCCAGCTTTTGAAACACTTGAATCAACCATTATTCAGACCTAGAAGAAGTTATTAATTTTACTCAGAAGTTCTGGGGAAGGTAGCTTCACAGAGGCATAACAGACAACCTTGAAGAATAATTTCAGTAAAAAAAAAATTGATGGGATTGGGTGTGATACAGTTTATCATTGTTAATAACTATATAATGTGGTTAAGACTATAACTTAGACAGCATTATGTCATTATGTTCTAACCTTGACTTTGGTGCTTCTTGGCTACATAGTTGAAAAAGGTTAACTAACATTTTCAAACCTAAGATTCCTCACGTGTAAAATGGAAATGATAATTTCTACTTCAACTTGTGGATGTGAATGGTTAAATGGGCTTATGTACATTAGGTACTAAAACACCAACTGAGCATTCAATAAATAAACAATAGCCATAGGATGCGGGGAGAAAACAAAGGACTGATTTGAAAAGAGAATAATTTAATAATATAATTATGGGAATGACTGGACAAAAATAAAAGATTAAAAAGTAAGTTTGAGGCTACATCCACTTTTTCTTTAAAGCAGACTTTTTTTTTTAGAGCAGTTTTAGGTTCAAAACTGAGGGAAAGGCACAGAGATTTCCCATATACTTCCTATGTCCACAAAGGAGTAGCCTTCCCCTTGTCAGTATCCCCTACCAGAGTAGTACATTTGTTACAATTGGTGAACCCACATCATAATCACCCAAAGACCATAGATTACATTAAAATTCACTCTTGGTGTTGTACATTCTATGGATTTGGACAAACATATAATAACCTGTATCCACCATTGTAGTGTCATACAAAGTAGTTTCACTGGCCTAAAAATCCATCTAGATCTGAATGGAGTTGAGTCTTTCCCTTTCCTCAGGTCAGTTAGTCTCTGATAAAACCCTAGCAGGTTAGATTCTGTTTAAACAGTTTCTCCTGAGGGCACCCCTTCTTAATAAAAATAGAATGCTCTGGTGTATTTTAAAATGATTCCTTTTTCCCCTCTTCCTCCTAGAAGCATGAGGGCATTTTTTTCAAGTATTCACTGTGAGAACCAGATTGAGGTCCTGGAGGTAAAAAACTCACACAAGTGTGGGCCACCCCATGACTGGTTCTCTCCGGAGTTTTTAATTCTCTGAGTTGTTGTTATTGAGCCTCCAGTAATTTGTCAATTACAGTTCAGATTTATTTCTCCCAACCCCTACTGGTTCCTGGGATGTTTCTTCTCATGAATTTCAGCTCCAATAAATTGTGAGTCTCTGTTTTTGTCCCTCTGCCCCTCCAGTTTTCAGGACAGTGGTTTTCCCTGTGACCTCACTTCTTTTATGGATCTAGAGTTAACGATTTTTCAGTTTGCTCGGTTTTTTACTTGTTGTGGGGACAGAGTATAAACTTCTTATACGACAGATTAGAAACCAGAAGCCCTATATCTACTTTTGATAAGTACCTGAGATATTTTACTACAGAGATTTAAAATTAATTCAAAAATATGACTTTCATATTTAGTCCTCAAAATATTTTATCTTTGAAATTAATGTGCTATTTAAACAAATCACTGTGTGCATGATTTGTTTAGCTTTCATTAGACTAGAGTATTAAAAACGTTGATAAATTATATTTTAAAGTATGCATTTATATTTTATAGTATATATTTTATTTCCCTGTGCAAAAACATTTTAAAGATAAATATTCCAATGAGCTACCAGATATTGTGTTGTGTGTGTGGTTTCTGTGTGTGTGTGTATGCGTGTATATGTTCTCTCTCCTAGTCTCCTCTATTTTTGTGTTTATTTGTGCCTGTCTTGAAGTTGGTTCAATTTCATAAAAGCATTTAACTTGATTAAGCACTAGATAATGTGAGAAAATGTGATCGGGACCTCGGTGAAAAAGACATGACTGCTATTACTTTAGCTCAAGAGCAGAACATGGTTTTTCCTGAGGAGTCTTGTAAACACCTAATATATCTGTGTTGCCATCACTAAAGTGTATGTTTGAGGAAAAATATTAATGTGAATTATATAACCCTAAAATCATGTAAGGTGGAAATGTTGAAAGAGTATCGGTGGTTGGAGCTCCTACACTGGAAAATGGAAGCAAGCCAAATACTGGCACTTAACGCTCTGCTCTTGTTAAGAAAATGCCAAGGGATCTTTTCACGAGAGTAACTCGCAGATTGCAACACAGTTACCTTAGCTGGCTCCTGATGTGCAGTATCACACCACATTTAAATTTCCATCTGTGGTGTCTGAAACTATTGTTCTCAAACTTCTTTTTTCCCCAGAGTAAACCTACAGGATCTGAAAGACCACAGGACACACTCCCCTTAGTGGGACAACCAACTAGACTTTAAGAAGTTATAAATGCAGTTTGCAGTCTTTCTAGCAACCATGGAATCATTTCATGTTTCAAAAAAGTAAATTGGTATTAAAATTACTCATAGAAAATGCTAAATTTTGATATATCTGGAATCATTCATTTTTCGTCTAATGTTGTTAGTGTCACATTGCCGACATTCTCCTAATGCAATTGTGCCTCTGTGGATAGGAAAAATGAGGATGCTGTGTTCCTTCTCCTTTCTCTGCAAAACTTGATCATCAACCCTTAGAGTGGAGCCCTGTAACTGATGGTTATAAAATAACTGAATTGGTAAAAGTGACTATTTAGCAAATTGTTTTAAAGAAAATTTTATTTGCTTATGCAATGTTACCTTCTGTAGTAGTTGAATTGTGATGCTCAAATTTCACATACACACACAACATCTGGTTTGAAAGTGTAATAAATTGAAAGGAACATTAAACTGAAGCTCATGTGCTAGTTATATGACTAATCTGTCGGCTTTAAGAAGAGACAATGACGTTGTGATCTTTAAGCTTTCCCTTTTTAGTTTTATTATACAAAGGAAAACATACTTGTACTGTATTAAACTCTCAAAGAACTTGGAAGAGAAAGTGAAATTAAGTGTTTTAAGATCTTTGAAAGGAAAGCTTATATAAAGTGTTTATATATATTTAAGCAAAAAGGTATGCATTTGTTGATGTCTTCCTTATTCTTTGCCTTACGGATTAACCTAATAACCATTTTCTATCTTTTAATATATATTTTTTCATCTGGAATATATATACAGTCATGTGTCACTTAGCAATGGGGATATGTTCTGAGAAATGCGTTGTTAGGTGATTTTGTCATTGTGCCAACATCATAGAGGATACTTACACAAACCTAGAAGGTATAGCCTACTACACACCTAGGTTGTATGGTAGTAATCTTATGGGACCACCATCGTATATGTGATCTGTTGTTGACTGAAACATTGTTGTGTAGCTCGTGACTGTATATATATTCAATACATACATATTCACTACACATTCAATATATACATAGATTCAAAATATATGCAATATATGATTTGCATCTCTTCTCCATTTTCTACATTACAAGTTAACATATACAAAGTACATAAAATGGTATCTAATGTAGTCATACATCAATAAGTGTTAATTAAATAAATAATTATTATAATTACTATAATGTTGCTATTGAAATGGCTTTGTATTCAGTACTTGAATATCAACATTATTCTTGATCTAAGTCTGTATTTATGGAGAGTTTCAGGTTTTAGAGGTTGCATGATATGCAAGGACCTTGAAATGATCAGCCCAAGAAGCAACATTAAAGAAAATTCTACCTCTTTGCTCAACATTCTTGTTGCTAAGCAGCTAAATTTGTTTATCCTCTCCTGTTTGAGTCAGGACTGGGGGTAATGAGCTGATGTTGCATGTCAGAGAAATGAGTTAGTGGCTGACGACGAACTTGAAACTTCTTGGCTTTGCATTGATTTCCCATTTAGTGACCTCCTGGGTAATTCTGAGCACACTATTCCACTTCTTTAGGGTTGTTTCTTCCAGATCATTAAATTAACAATTACATATAGGGGCCTTTAGCAAAGTGCCTACATCCTGATATAAAGATAGTCCAAATAATTCGACAAAGCAATGGGATTTCAGACAAATATTTAGAAACTTTTAGATAAAAATCTCATTGAAATGTCTCCTTTGCCAAAGCGAAACTTATTCTTTTGCTGATTTGTTTTCTAGTTCCTTCAAGAAATGAATGGCAGAAGTGATTGACAAGGCACTATATACATTTCCAAAGCCAACTCTTATGACATAATATAGTGCTACAAATAAAAATGTCTATAAAGATGCATAAGTTATTTCTGTAGGAATAGAAGGGATGAGTTACATGCCATTCCATTTTGATGAACTTGAATCCAGTTTCTAATCAACAAGATTGCCCTATACAATAAACTACTGATTGTGACTGCTGGCGTTAACAGTAATAGGACAAGAAGATGTGTGGCACAATTTTCTCCATTCAGCTATTCATTTTCCTACTGCTTCGAAGGAGTCTTTATATCCTTATGCTCCTTCTCCGAGTTACCCTGGTCAATTGTGCTAAATGTGCCCAGTAGATCCAATGAATGCACGGACAACTCTTGTTGATTGCTAAGTAGTGTCAGTTTGGCCTCAGTTCCTCATTTCTGTCAGAGTTCTCAAAACATGAATTCAGTTTCAGGGTGGTTTTGCACCCTTTTAAGAGAATGCTCTCTACTCAAATCCCACTTAGTTTTATGCACACTACTAAATATAAGAAATAGATGTACAGAAGCTGATATCCTCAGGCCATATCAGCTCTATCTATTTAGTCTCTCTGAACTCTGCAAATTCATTTTTTCTCTGCCAGTGCTAACTACAGACCATATGATGTGTTGTATTCAGTTGGAACAAAAACCTTTATAAGAACAGTAATAGGATAGAAAACATCAACAAAACCTCTCCTTTTTTTCAGTCTTCATAATCTCTAGCTCTGACATTTGGACTTGAAGTTTGGAGAGAATCTATGAAGCTGTAGTGAGAATTATTTATCAACTCCAAAAGGCTTTCTTTTGAAGGAATCCAAGTTCCCAGTTTCATAGCAAATTTATAACTCACTATAAATGTCAAGGTTTAAAGAACATTGAAACACAGCATGGATATTTATTTGAAAAAAATCACTTGATAAATTTCAGAATGCACTGTTTTGTTTATTTTTAAAGAACCTGTCAAATTATATTGTTGGATTAACTAAATAATATAGTTTTCCTGTGGTAGATTGCTATGTTCACCACAGTTATAATGTGCCTGTCTTCCCACTTTTATTTAGCATGTGTGTTAGCAGATGCTTGGGTGGCAGCTATTTGTTCAAAATTATTCTTACTGATACACTGTTGAGAACACAGTGAGAAAGGATGCCTTTATAACGAATGCCCTCATACCTAATTTATTATCCGTTTTCCATCCTTGACAGCTTAGTTATGTCTCCCTGTAACTTCTCCATGAGTTCAAACATGCTCTCTTCTGTAGGACAAACTATGTTGTATTGGCCAGATGTTACCTGTGTTTCTAACCACTGATGATGCCAACTGTAGAGACATAATTAAAGATTATTAACCATTTTATGTGGATTAAAAAATCAGTTTTCCTTCAAAAATTCTGTTAAAAATAAAAATTGGAGTAGATTTTCCCCTCTCATTGTTTTCTCTGTTCTTTGCTAGAGTATTAGTAACAAAAAAATTGTTGAATTCTTAATCTATGTAAACTCTGTGTTAAAGCTTTGTATGTTTAATTTTATTTGATCCTCAAAACAACCCTACAAAGTGGAAGAGGTGCCCTTTTATGCCCACTTTACTGGTAAGAAAGCTAAGGCGCTGAGAAGTAACTCAAGTCATGTAGCCAGTGCTAGCAGAGCTGGGATTCTGATCCAGGCAGCCTCGTTCCACACCTCGTCCTGCTAACTGCCATGT